AAGTTTAAAGATGACATTTCAAAATAATTTCTGAGATAGACTTGAATTCTCAGCTTTTTTAAAAAAAAAAAACCTCATATTTGAAAGTGAAAAAGTGGTCAAAAGAAGAGCAATTCCCTATATAATGTTCTTAGTTAATCAGTCTCCATGGCTTCATATTTACCCTTTAAGGTTGGAAATGACTCACCTGTGAAACGAATGTCACCACACCATTGCTAAAATTATGTTTTCCAGTAACAAAACACCAAAATCTTAGGCAGCACAGAAGAGAAAGGAGAAAAGAAAAACCCACATCCTTTGTGTTTCACTACATATTACTAATGTCAATGCCTGAAACTAAATGGTCTCCATATGTGGGTAACAGAAGCCATGAAAATCCCTATTTCCTTTCTTTCCTTACAGCCATATGTCTCCTTTTAATTCCTAGAGGTAACACATATTTTCATATGCTTTTCAGTTTTGCTGAGGAAATAGAATTCTATATTTGTTTATGTTTAACACTGTGTACAAAGGGAAAAAAATCATAACTTAATTTCCAAGAATTTTTAATGTTTCCATTTGTCTCTGCTATAAGAAAAAAAAAAGGCATATTGACTTTTTAAGATGAAAATGTATCCTATGTGTCTGCAGCAAAAATATGAAAGCATTAACTGTATCTGGTGGTTCTCAGAAATTCAGGCCAGATCTGCAGGCCAAAACCTTTAAGTGAAAAACTGACAAAGCCATTAAACTGGGGAGGTATAGATTACTTAATTAACTGGACCTCACAGTCATACAAATACAACTGAATAATTATATCTCTCAGATAAGTTGTAAAACTTTTGTAGTCTGAATGTGTTTGTGAGTGTCTGTTTCCACTGGTGGGGGTGCTGAGAAAGCAATATCATCAGCATAAAGTAATCCAATGAACTAGACATAGATGCCAACATTTAATAAACTTAAAATTAAGCACAGCAGTATTCTAAGTGCTTTACAGACAATAACTCATTTAATCTTAATTATCATCATTATCAGTCCCATTTCACACATGAGAAAACTAAAGCACTGACAAATAAGTTAACTAAAGTCATCAGCTAGCAGGGCTAGATTCATGTTCTTCACCACACACCATACCTTGTAGCTCAATGACACCTTCACGGTGTCATTGACTTCTAATGGGTATGGGGTGTCATTTTTGGAGTAATGAAAATTAGGGAATTAGATAGTGGTTATGTGTGCACAACCTCGTGAATATACTAAAAACCACTGAATTGTACTCTTTAAAATGGTGAATATTATGGTATGTGAATTATATCTCAATTAAAAAAAAATAGTTGTCTGTCTTCTGAAACTAGAAGCACCAACTTTAAATGGGTGCATGGCCCTATCAAAGCTCCCCACCCAAAGGGAGGAGTTATGAAGGTGTCACTAATGAGACTTGAGAAGGAGCAGATCATACAGTGTCTCTAAAAGTCATCCTACAGACTGGGAAATAACTGAAGAAAGCCTTTCTGTAATCTAACCCTCTCTGTTATCACCAGTACACCTAAGGAAAGGGGACTTCGCTGGAGAGAGACAGACCAGCTTCTATAAAAGGAGGGACAATGGTGCATCATTTATCAGTGCGCATTATTGCAAAGATTATGCCGATTCTGGAGGCCTATTTAGTTCCGTTGGTAGAGACATCAATATATTAGCAAAGGGGGAAGTCTTTATTTTTGTTATTTTTATCTAAAAATCCACTTAACATGGAACTTAAAAGTGTCACATGATGCTTTAATTACTAGATTATGTACTTTTAGATTTCATTTCATTGATAGTCTAATAGTAAAATATGTTCAATGTTAGATATTTATGTATAGTAGGCCATTTTTATTCTTCTGAGACTATTCATCTTGGACCCATTTCTACTTTTATCTCTTCATCATCAAGTCTAGCTGATCTTGCAAACCAGTGGTTTTCATTCTTCTCACTGCTGTGGACATACCAGATGGGTGACTTCCACCTGTGACATGGGTTTCTATGGCAATACCAGCAAGGGGAAAGTCTTATTAGAAGGAAATATGACAGTTCAGATTCAGGGGTGGGAGTGAAGGGTGTTATATATTTTTGTCTAACCAAGCAATCTTCTACCTTTAAGCTGATATGCCTTGAGAGGAAAGAGAATGTACCCTGAGCAAATAAAAAAATACTATTTTTTTTTCTGTCAGATAATAGTATAACAAATCTGCTTTCCGTTTTGGACATTAGTCTCCTGCAAGTCTGGGTACATGAGTTAGGCCCACAGAGCTTTAGCGAAGAGCACACCACCACATCAAGTTTCAGGAGCGCTTGCTCACAAATATCAGGTCCAGCAATTCTGCATCCCTCCC